GCAGGCAGTGCAAACAGGCAGGCAGTGCAAACAGGCAGGCAGTGCAAACAGGCAGGCAGGCAGGGAGTGAAGGCAGGCAGTGCAAGCAGTTCAGGCAGTGTACTAGGCAGGCAGGCAGTGCAGACAGGCTGGTAGTACAGGCAGGCAGGCAGTGCATACAGGGCAGACACACAGGGCAAACTCACCCATTCTTGTCAAAGACTTCAAAGCCATAGATGTCCAACAACCCGATCACGGTCTTTTGGGTGAAATCCTAGTGGGGAAAACAACGCATGCCGTTAGCTGTGAGTGCTGCGGCTCTCCCAAAGCGTCTTCACTTCCCAAGCATTTCTTGGTGCATATGTCTGTCTACCATCTGTGTGCAGGTGCCCGTGGAGACTAGAGGAACTGGTGTTCCAGACAGCTGTGAGCTGCCTGATATAGGTGCTGGGGACTAAACACGGGTGCTCTGCAAGAGCCACAAGTGCTTTTAACCACGGAGCCGTCTTTCAAGCTCTTACCCAAAGACTCTGATGTTGAAACTCCATCCCCACAGCGAGGCTCTAAGAGATGGAAACTAAATTTGACTACGGAGTTTGGAAGTGGGGCCTTTGGGGGTCCATCAGCTAGATAAGACCATCAGAGCAGAGCCCCCAGGACCTGATGGTTTCTACAAAGAGAGAGGGACCAGACCAGAAAGATACACAGACCATGTTCTCTCTCTTGCCGTGTGACACTCTCTTCCTGGGTCACCATTAGAGCAATAAAAAAATGGACCGATTTGGTTAAGTTTGTCTTTGCAATCCCTGTTGCTGTCCCTAAACCTGGGACTCAGGTAAAAAGCACGTGGCTCCTGCCTTTCTCTTCAGCAGGGGCTCGTAGTAACCTTTGGGGCCTAAGCCTGGTCCTCAGCTGGACCTGCCTGTGGCTTCCCTCGGTAAGCAACACCTTGGCTTCTGATTGACGTCATGGCTTCATGTCTCTCCAGCCACCAGTTTGCGTCCCCTCCAAAACCAACAATGAAAGTGACCTACGAACTGCCAGGAAGCGCTTGCCCAGGTGAGAGGCGGCAGAGGCGTGACTGTCACTTCATACAGGCAAGGGTGGGCACCTCTCAGTGAGGCTCTGGTCTCAGTTTATCTCCCCAAAGTTCACCTGTCAGAATCAGCATCTTCAGCCTCATGTCATCGGTATTCGGGAGACAAGGTCATGAGGCAGGGCCACCATGATGCAGAGGTCCCTTGTCATGTCAGGATGCTGGAGGAGACTCCACTAGGTGTGGCTTTGTGCTCCCAACTCCCCAGTGTCTGGAACCTTGAGCTAAGTAAACTTCTATATTTTATCAGTCACCCAGTTATAACATAGGAACCGAGGACATGCTTGTTATTCTTCATTTAAAGATTTGTGTGTGTGTATGTGTGTGTATATGTGTGTGTATGTGTGTGTATGTGTGTGTATATGTGTGTGTATGTGTGTGTATGTGTGTGTGTGTCTGTATGTGTATATGTGTGTGTATGCATGTATGCACACACAAGTGCACACATACACATATCCCATATGTTTGGATACCCACAGAGGCCAGAAGAGGTTCTCAGGGTTCCCTGCAATAGGGATTAAAGGTGGTTGTGAGCCCTACCCATTGTGGATGCTGGGAACTGAACTTGGGTCATCTACAAGGACAGTAACATTCTTCACTGCTGAGCCATCTAGCCTGGCTTCTCTGCCTCCTCCTCCTCCTCCCCCTCCCCCTCCTCCTCCTCCTCTTCCTCCTCCTCTTCTTACTCCTCCTCCTCATCATCATTTTTGTTTATTTCTCGTGCATTGGTGTTTTGCCTGCACGTCTGTATGAGGATATCACACCCCCTAGAACTGGAGTTAGAGACAGATGCGATCTGCCATGTGGTTGCTGGGAACTGAACCTGAGTTCTCTGGAAGAGCAGCCAGCGCTCTTAACCACTGAGCCATCTCTCCAGTCCCCTTTCACCCAATCATTCTTAAAGGGACACAGCAGACTCCTCTGTCCGACTGGACTGAGATGCTGCCTCCCAGTCTGTATTCTGCACACCAGGCTCTAGAGTCATGCCTTGATTTCTAGCTCCAAATAAACTCCCATCTTATCTGATTCCTATGTAAAAACGAAACACGACCTAAGCAGGAGTTTGAAGGTCAGCTGTGTGTTCCCAGACACATTAAAAGTATATGGCTGTAGAAGGCCATCTGGTATACCACAGGTGCTGTGGATACCGGACTTTGGAAAGTGTCTTCAAGCCAACAGGTGTGCACACCCGTTAGCCTACTGTGTGCAAGGCACTGGAAGACATCACCCCTGCCCATGAGGAGCTTATGGGTCATGTTCACAGGGGCTTTGCATCAATATGATGACCACAAGACACTACCACTGTAGTGAGAACAGGACATCCAACGTGTGTTGACCCACCTTGTTAACTAAGGAAGAATTGATTTTATTGACCAGCCACGTAAATGTCCGCCCATAAACAGCCTTTGCCATGGCATCTCTGGCGTAAACAGAGAGTTCTACGGTCAATGGACATATCACCTGGAAAAACGGGTAAGGGATGTCATTATAGACAGGATGAGCCATATCCTCAGGGTCCACACCAGTCTCTGACAGTAACTGAGCATTGGACACAAGTTAGGAGACCAGGACCCAGACACAGGCCTGGCGTTTGTGGGCTCATGAGTCAGAGCACTGTCAGGACTTCCAGACACTCACACGAGGGAAGAGTCCTGGTGCAGGCTTAGAGTGACGGGTGGGGTGCCGTAAGGACGACCAAGAGGCTAAGGTAGGTGATGGGGGGGAAGGGTCCCTGATTCAGGGCTCTGGGTGCTGAAGGTTGGAGGACAGGGAAAGGCGTTCCAGCAGAGGGAACAGCATGTGCAAAGACCCTGTGAGGAAGGGTTAGGCAAGGGTGAGACATGAGCTGGGGAGGGATGGGGGGTAAGGGGTAAGGGTGGGGTAAGGGGTAGGATGAGGGGGTAAGGGGTGGGATAAAGGGGTAAGGGGTGGGATGAGGGGGTAAAGGGTGGGAATGGTGGGTAAGGGGTGGGGGTGGGAGTAAGGGGCGGGGGATAGGGTGAGGGATGGGGGTAAGGCACAAGGGATAAGAGCTGGGGATGATCTAATGGGGGGGGTGAAATAGGAGATGGAGGAATGGGGGTATGGGTGTGGGGAGATGAGGTTGGGACCCCCTCAAGAGCTGAGCCACTCAGGACCTAGTAGGCTGGGTAGAGGGTTTGTTACCCACAGGGGACACCAGAGTGCTGGACTGAGTCAGGCAGCCAAGGCAGGGGGCCGACACAGCAGGGGGCTGACATCTTCCCGGCACTGTTTAGTTACCTCCTCTGTTTTGGCTTCAATCTTTCTGTGGGTGAGAGCTTCCAGAAGAACAGCTGGGCAGACTCCCAGGAGCTGTGTGAGAGAATCCAGTCGTCATTCAGTGACTATACAGAGCCTGTGGCCTCTCTGGGGTCAGGGTCATCCACCCTCCCTTCCCTGGGCCAGCTATGGTGGTACACGCCTGTAATCTCAGCACCCAGAGTGATTGCCAGTCCAGAGCCAGCCTAGGCTGTATAATGAGGTCCTATCATAAAACCGAACAAACCAAATCAAACAGAAGCAAGCTCACCAGTCGCAGCTCCTTCTAACCCTCCTAACCTCGAAAGAATGTGGTGCTAACCATTTGCATTGCTGTGGATATTTGGTGTTCAGACTCCACACCCCACCCTCTAAGTTCATTAGCAAAGGAAGGTCACCTTGGCAATCCACTTGATTTCGTGGGTATCCGGGACACTGGCACAGCCTTGTTTGTTCCCCTTGAAACAAATGTTGCCCAGGTGTAGGACACTAGCAATGATCCCAAAGAGGTTCTAGAGATGTAGGAAGGCAGGGGACACAATAGAGGAGTCAGCAGTACCTCCGTGACAATTGGTGATGATACATCCCTTCCCTGAACCCCAACCCAGTTCACAGAGCCAACTCCCTAGAAATGGGCTCTGGTCACTTCCAGCCCTAATTATCTTAATGGGGGGGGGGCTGGAGGGGAGCCACTCAGCCTCCAGCACAAAATATAAACGCATAAACATTTTATAAAAGCATTTTATAGCCAGGCAGGGATGATGCACACCTTTAATCCCAGCACTTGGGAGGCAGAGGCAGGCGGATCTCTCTGAGCTTGAGGCCAGCCTGGTCAACAGTGAGTTCCAGGACAGCCAGGGCTGTTTGTAAAACAGACTTCCAGCTAGTGTTTGCCTGTGACCCCAGCACTCAGGCAGCTGAGGCAGGGGATCCACTAGTTCCAGGACAGCCTGGGTTACATAGTGACAGCCTGTCTCAAAACCAACCAACCAACCCAACAGGTAAGCTAAATTTTCTAATAGCATGGTCTCCAATATTATCATAATTTTATAAGACTACATTTTGGTTCTTGAAAGATGAACAGAGTTATAATCAAAACAGAAAAAAAGTGACAAGATTCTATCCAATGTTTACCCATGATGCAATTCATTTTAAAATAGAAGAGTAAATAAAGAGTAAATGTGCAGGTCCAGTGGATCTAAATCAAGACTGGTCTAATTGAGGACCACATCACCCCGGGAGGACCACATCACCCCGGGAGGACCACACCACCCGGGGAGGACCACACCACCCCGGGAGGACCACATCACCCGGGGAGGACCACATCACCCCGGGAGGACCACACCACCCCGGGAGGACCACACCACCCGGGGAGGACC